AAGGAAAACTAATGTTTTGGTCGATGCACTAAGTCGGAAGATATTATTTGCTTTTGGAGCCTTGAATGTGTAATTGTCTATAAGAAATAATGGTGCATTAGTTGTCAAATTAAATTTTAACCTACTTTGTTAGATCAAATCAAAGATCTTCGGTCAAAAGATGAAAAATGTTTATCAATAGTATAACAAGTTGAGAAAAAGAAAACTAAAGACTTAGAATTTAAGTTTGATGGATGCTTATTTTATCAAGAGAGAGTTGTATACTAGATTACAATGAATTGAAGTGAGAGCTTAATAAAGAGGCACATTGTAGTCCTTTGACAAAGCATCCGAGAGGAAATAAGATGTATCAAGACTTAAAGAGTTTATATTAGTAGATTAACATGAAAAGAGCTATAATAGAATTTATTTCTAAATGTTTAACCTGCCACCAATTCAAAATAGATCCTCAGGTGCCTTCAGGATTGATACAACCAATTTCTATTCCTCGATGGAAGTGGGAAAATTTTATAATGATTTTTGTATCGGGCTTACCACTGAAACCAAGTAAAAAATATTTGATTAGGAAAATATGGATAGATTGACTAAGTCAACACATTTCATTCAGTTCGAACCAAGAATTCTATGGATAAGTACATTGAGTAGTATATTTGAGAGATAGTTCAACTTCATAGGATACCAATATCAATTGTGTTTGATATATATTCGATATTTACTTAGAGATTTGGAAGTCCTTGCATAAAGCTTTGGGAACTCAGTTTAAATATTAGCAATGTTTTTCATCCTTAAATGGATGGAAATTCTTAGGGCATGTGTAATTAACTTCAAGGTTCATGGGAAAAATATTTTCCTTCAATTGAGTTATCTTATTACAATAGTTATCAACAGAGTATTAAGATAACTCCTTATGAAGCACTTTATAAAAGAAAGTGTCAAACTCCTTAAATTGGGTTGAGCTTAAGGAACATGATATTATTGGTTGCGACTAGATTAAAGAGGTCAAAGATAAAGTGAAGGTTATTCAAGATAATCTTAAAAGTGTTGTTGATCGATAAAAGTCTTATTCAGATCTAAAAAGGAAAAACATTGAATATCAACTTGGTAAAAAAGTATTTCTTAAAGTACCACCTTGAAAGGAGGTGCTACACTTTGGACAAAAAGTGAAAACTGAGTCTGATATTTACTGATCCTTATGATATTTTGAAAAGAGTTAGTCTCGTGGTATATTAACTAGCATTACCCCAAAAATGGATAAAGTTTATATTATTTTCTATGGGTCGATGCTTAGAAGACATGGTTCTGATTCTTCTTACGTCATCACTCTGGAAGAAATTGAAATACAATATAATCTAATTTATGAAGAAGAATTGGTAAATATTTTAATTTATGGAATTAGAGAATTGTGAAATAAGACAATCTCACTTTTCAAAGTTTTTTAGAGGAATAATAACGTAGAGGAACCTACTTGAGAAAAATGAGAAAGTAATGAGAGAGATGTATCCTCGTCTATTTGAATCAGGAATATGAAAAAATTTGAGGGAAAATTTTTCTTAGGGCGAGAATTGTAATACCCTAAAATTTTGGTTAGTGACCAAAATGAATAAATTGAAAGTTTGGTAACCAAAGTAAAAATTTAGAAAGTTTAGGGATTAAAATAATAATTTTTCCAAAATGGTATTTATCCCTTAATGAATAGTTTACCCCCAAGAATGAAATTTTTGTGTTACTTAGATTTTTGGTACGAAATTTGTGTTAAAGGCTATAGAACGTTAAAGTTTGAGAAATAAATTCAAATAATCGGAACAAATTGAATATTTGGGATATTTTGTTAGATTATAAGGTAAGGTTAATGATGTTATTTTCATGCCTTAAAATGATCAGATTTAATATTGACCATTGAATTTAAGTTGATTTTTCATGTTAAATCTAAGTCGTTTGATGAAAATAGCAAGATTGTAGTTTTGAGATTTTTCAAAGGCAAAGTTGGTAACTACTAACTAGTTGGATTAATAGCCCTTAGATGAAGATTTTGACATATGAAAAGATGATGAGCATTGGATTTTAAGGGTAAATTGGCCATTTGGATTAAAATGAATTTTAAATTCATTTTAAGCTTTATAATTCAAAAAGGACTAAAATTTAAAGGAGAAAAATCAAGAAAGTTCTCATATTTTCTTGTTGTTTTCGTGAGTCTCAATGAGTGCCAAGTTGTTGTGTAATTGATGTGTGTGAACCATCCAAGTTTAATTGAGATGAAGTGAATAACAAATGAAAAGAAGAGAACTCTGATAAAAGTTTCGGGAAGACTATATTTTGGTTGATGTTTAAAGTTTCTAGGTGAGTGTATGTTTATGGTATTTTTATTGTTACTAAGGAAACATTGCCTTGCGATGAGCCAGTGATTGATTTACTATTGTAAGAAGTGACTCTTGAATATTATATGGCTTTTTGATTCATGCATTTAGGTTAAATTTGTATTTAGAAGATTAATAGAATTAGTGAATAAGCAAATGATGAAAAATAATGAAATTTACCTTGACTTTATGATCTTGACAATAGATTCAGGATATCATCATAATTTTATAAAAATTATTAGGTAGTTATTCTTATAGATTTGTATTCATATGCTAATCTAGTTTTGTTTAAAACAAACGGAGACTGATTTCGAAGTATATACTAGAATATATGATTTTTTTTATGGATGATATGTAAGAAAATAGGGCATCAGATTCTGCTCAAAATAGATTTTGTAAATTGGATTAGAAAATTCATCATAAATTGTACAACTCAAACTAGAAAAAACACTTTATATGGTTAAATTTTAATTCAAATATTGTTTCTAGTGGGATAAACATAACAAAATTCCAATGTGTATATTAATACAAAAAAATAATTCTTTAAAGGTAATGCAAATTGTCTTAATAAAAAAAAGGTGATGAATCATGCATTTTATGTTACCTTTGTATTATATGTCATTTTAAATGTTTGAAATGAGAAACTCTATTATATTGGCATGATAATTATGCTATTTATCATATGATGGACATGTTGTTTACATGTTAAAAAGGTAAGTGATCAATGATATTTTCATGATATATTCATGCTATGTGAAAATGAAATATTTAGGGTATGAATTGTCCATTGTGCCGTTATGTGAAATGTTCAATATATTGTTATCTTTTATTATTAAAAATTAGTGATAATTTACGAAAATACTCATTGTATGTACATTGAGAGTCCTTGGTATAGTTGGCATGCCAAGAGGTGGAGTACTACTAGCTGCATTATGTACATAGTAATGTGATTTTAGTATTATTGTACGTAGTTGCATTGGATACATAATCATGTGATATTGATAAAACGATTATCCCAATTATCGGTACATATATGCATATCTATGTGACACTTAAAGTGCATTTTACTCATACCATACATTCTCATTTATATACATTGAGCTATGACATAAAGAAATTTTGAAAAATGCAAATTATGTCAGAAAAGTGAGAAAGTTAAACTTTCCATTTATAAGTGATTTAGCATAAAATTATTTATATGTGATTTGATGATTTCAGGTATCTCTGAAATTAAAATAACTTGGTACAAATTTGTTTTATATGTTCATATACTCTCATATGATATGTTTTGTATTATTATTATTATTATGTTTATTTTGTATTATTGATTATGTCTCACTAAGTGTATACTTAGAGAGTGATTATTTTCACACGTATGTAAAGAGAAAATATCAGAGTAAGGAGCGCTTGACATCTTATCTATCGAGAAGCACGACTACAATATCAGTAATGACATCTATATGATCTATTTGATTTTTCTAGTTGGCATATATATGTTATAAGTATTTGGTATAAACTTTGCTTAGACATATTTGGAATAAGTTATAAGCAGTTTTTAGACTGTTATATTGGTTACACTTTGTAGTTATGAACTGCTAGGTTAGTGGATAAAAATGGACTTAGTTTGAATATCCGACAAATAGAAAGATATTTTTTGTGATTAAATGAATTATGGTTTATTATTTAGCAATAATAGTTTTAAAGAAATATTTTTTTATTGATTTTTAATAAGGGAAGTTTTGTAAGTTTTATGTGACATCTCTAACTCGTGTTCGATGACGGATATGAGAAGGGAGTGTTACATATCATTTAAGGCTGATATGTTTTTATAATATGGAAGATTATATTTTAAATACAAGTATGAACTGAGATATAAAAATATATTTAAAGAAAAAATTAAAAATAATTTTAAACTGGGTTTAAATATTTGATGTAATTTATAAAAAGTACTAGTATATATTCGCATGACTTTAGATAGTTTTTTATATTATTGTTTATGTTTTATTAAATTGAAGCCAAGTTTTTTTTTAATAGAATCGTCTCTTAAATTGTTAGTATGATGTTAATGATTGTTCAAACCGATAAGTATTATTTTTTATATTTGAATGATTTTTAATAAATGAAAGTATTTGCATAATATAATATACTAAAAATTATATTTTATATTTTATGAGACAGAATCATTAAACGAAGGGCGATTTATAGAATAATCTCTTAAATTGTTAGAGTATAATTTTATAATTCGTATGAATGAACAAATATCCACATCAATTTTAAAATGAATTGAGTTATTGTATAAATATATTTAAAAAGAAATTAATTTAATTTAATTTTTGTTAAAATTATATAATAATTTCATATCGCACACATCTCATTTATTTATGTTGCATTCTTAGCATGTAATAATCGAATATTGTTTTGATTACCTTTAAATAATAAGATAATGTTATTTGGAAAACTAACGAAATAATGTCCCAAATTGAATAAAATTTGAGTATTTATTTTACGATGAATGTACTACAAATGGAACTATTCATTTACATACATACACACATACATATATATATATATATATATATATATATTGATAGATACAGACAATAGCAAGCATAATTATATAAAATTTAGAAAGTTGATCTAATCTTCTTAACACAATGTTCCAATCTTTCACACAAAAATACCAATAAAAAATAAAAATTCCATCAACCAAGCTCTTGCTTCCTATTCTAAATATACATGACTTGTAATTCTAACAACAAACAGTTTAAAAAAACACCTGTACAGCTGAAATAATTCTGGGTTATCCTTGCAATTCTATTTTCTTTTCTATATGAGAGCTTATCTGCTTCTACTTGAAACATTTGAAATGTTTGGATAGGAGGAACTAAGCTTTTTTTTTCTTATCTTATTTTCTTCCACATATCAAATCTCTGGTTTTAAACGACCAGTGGAACAATGTCGAGAGGCTTAAGGTTAAACGATGGAAAACCGAGATAGAAAATGTAACTATATTCACTTTGACGAAAATCATTTGGTTCGAAACCGTCCATGTTTGAACCGGAATAAAATCCCATTTGAAAAAGATTTTGCAGCTCATTGTCTAGCACGGTCCATTGATAAACGGAATGTGTTAGAATCTGTATTCTGATGAGGAAGAGATTAGGAAAGGATGCTTCGACATCCCTTTTAATACATGTGGTAAGGGAGGGAATTGCGGCTTTGTATTCGGGATGCCTGAAGTTGTTCCGGGAAAGATGTCGGGAGAATGCGTGACTGGGGTTCATCCCCGGACCAAATCCGAGAGCTGCAGCACTTCCACTTCGTGTATGAAGAATCTGTACAGGAGGGAAGGGATTCATGTTGCGTCCTATATATCAAATCATAATTGATTGTACAATATCTTGGATACATATGGAAGCATAACTTACATCTTTGGATAAAATTCTGTCTAAATCAAGGTTTAGCTCTGGGTTGACAATGGCAAGTTTCATCGATAAAAACTGCATTGCAATAAGAAGTTAAATACACAATTGAAATTTAGTATATTATGATCCAAGTAACAATGTCACAAGCACTGATTCAAATATACATCATTGAAATCCATTCACGTTTGTAAATATGGGATAGTTCTCAAAGTAAACATATGTATGATACTGCAAAAGCTGCACTGTTAAGTCCTGAAGGAGTTCGTATTTCGTTACAAGTTGAATGCAAGATAAAGTTTCCATATGAAAGATGTGATCATCTCATAAAAATTGCAGTCAAGGATGAGATATAAATTTCCATTTCTTATTCAGAAACAGAAAAGTTAAGCAGATTTTCCGAATGAAGAAAAGTTTGCAAGAGATTTTGATTCAAAGTTCTCGTTTAGCTACTTGGTTGCATTAGTGAAGACTAAAGAACTATACCTAAACAAAAAAATCAATGGGAGCTCAAGTGAATGATAATTTTCAATCTAAAGGATAAATACTTAGCTCCAATCTTAGTATCATACCTCAACCTGCTGTTGCAATGACTGGACATAGTTGATAATCTCATCAAGCATTACAGCTTTCCTTGTAATCTAACACAATGACGCCAATACAAATAAACAAGATTCCATTTCATTTTGAAAGATCTTAATGCTATGCAACGTTACTCGGGAACCAGGATAATATTTAGAAAATCATATTCGCATACACTTGTATGAATGTGTCAAAAGCTACATAGATATAATGCAACCTCTGCTTACCTTATTGCATCCCGGTACGAGTTCTTGAAGCAATCTCATTCTCTCACTTATCTTTTCCCTTCTCACCTGCAAACACGAAAATTCCCAGATTCGTCTACAATGCAAGTAACACAAATATTGTTTCTTCGATATCGAAACAGGAAGTTACCCTTTCTGCCAGGCTATGACTATTTGTAGCCTGACCCCTTCTGGCTCTCACATTGATATAAATCTCTTTAGGAGCTTCTCCGGATTGTGATCCGTCTTTATGTTGTTTAGAAGCTTGCTTACCACGTGAATCACCACCTGTTTTCTGTTTCTTCCCATTCTGTTCTTTTGGACCATCGCAGCTGTCGCTAGACAGATCCATTCGAGGCTCCTCATAACCATTCTAATGCAAATAACAAAGCTGAATTACCATGTCTGCGGTGTCATAGTTCATCATATTGCTTCATTTATTTGACATTATTGTAAACAGATTCATAGAAGCATATATATACCTTGCATGATCTTAACGGAGAGTTGGATTCAGGAGATCGTTTTCGGATGTTTCCATTAGGAGAAGAGCCCACAAGCGCTTCTTCTAAGACTCGGTACTCATCAAGTGATCGCAAACTGTTTGTTAAACCCCTTCCATTGCCACCCTCGGCGTTTAGAGCATAATTCGAGGGGCACCTGCTGTTGGCGATTTGGTTGCATTGCGGTAGGCCAAAGGGACCAACCATTTGAGACAAATTTCCACCATCAAAGCCACTAAGCTTCGGCACCAGCTCAACAAAGCTCGGATGAGATTGATACTGGGAAACATGGGAAGTCCCACTAATTCCCTGACGTTCCATCACAAGATAGTAATGGGAAGCCACTGAAGAACCTCCAAGGCTTTCACTCTGTGAAACATTTGGATCCCAACCAGAACCTAAGAAAGGACCCAATGTATTTGAAATCTTGTTGAAAATGGATATTGAACTCATTGCCAATCCAATATCATCACCATTTTCACTAGCCATTTCCCAAGACTCCAAAGCCAAAAAGAAAACTCAAATTCTAAGGAAACTCAAGATGGTTTGACCACATTTAGTTTGGGGATATCTTGCTGAACAAGAACAAATAACAATGACAGCTTTATAGAACTGAGAGAATGTTAAAGTAAAAAACCTCTCATTGCATCGTCTTGGAGAAAAAAAAAGTGAAAAGTGGAAACCCAATGCATCTGTCACAATTTTTTTTCTTCATAAAGACCGATATTTACCTCTTGTTCCAATAAACCCTAGGATCAAATCTACTCTGCTGTTAGGGGGAAAAAAGGAAATTCTTTCCACATGATAATAAAGTACCTTTCAGAGCATAAAGTGGAACATTGACAAACAATGGCATTAGCTAAGTTACACCTAATCAGTGTAACAAAAAAAGAAAGCAAATTCCTTTTGTATCCTTCTAGCTTAGAGAAGAACAATAATTTTTTTCAGGATCAATTCATATAGAATGAAAAGAAATCTCTAGCAAAGAAAGCAATCAAATATTTTGTAAGTTTTGAATTAAACCCAGAAAAGGAATTTTGAGAAATGGGTGTTCCAAAGAACGACAAAAAAGCATTAAATTCTAACTTGAATTATGCAAGAACTGAAATGAAGCATAGTGTCAGTCACAGTCCCCTCAATTGGATGTTTGATAGTACCTCCAAAAGCATCAAATGCTAAAACTTTTTTTTTAAGTTGCGTAACAAGAAACCAAAGTCACCAATTTGGAACTAGCACAAAAATAATAAGGTGACGTTTGGTTCGATGGAATATTTATGAGAGAATTAAAATTTGTGAAAAAATTAGAATTTATGAAGGAATTAGAATCTGTGAAAGAATTAGAATCTGTAGGAATTAGAATCTAATTCCATATTCAGTTTGGTTGGTAGGAAATATAATTAAAATCTAATTTCATATTCTGTTTGGTTCACAGACATGTCAGATAAATTTCATTTTAGTAATGTAAAATGACATAATTATCTTTCTTTTTTATGCTTTAATTTAGTTTATTTTACAACTTACATGTAGTAATATATTATAAAAAATTTAAAAATAATTAAATTTTTATTTTATTGATTGATTATTTATTTCAATAAATTATAAAAATCATGCTAATAAACATTATAAGTTAAAATCATCGCAATCAAAATATGTTAATAAGTTACCAAAAGATAGAGCAATATTTCGATACATTCCAATCAGAGTATGTTAATTAGTTACAAAAATATACAAAAAACTATTTTTATTCAATATATGAATCAGAAACTCGACCCGACACGACTTAAAATAATAAAAAAAAATTATTTTTATTCAATAAAAACATTGACTTAATTGAAAAAAATTATATATAGTGGGGTATTATTGTTATTATTCCTAAATATATAAGGTAAAATTATATATTTTTTTCGGGTCGGTTTGGTTTTTTTCACCCTAAACCCGAACCCGACCCGAATATCACACTTAAAAAACTCGACCCGAATATCACACTTAAAAAACCTGACCCGACCCGAACAAAATAAAGTTTCATCCGACCGACCCGAATATATGAATTAGAAATCCGACCCAACCCGAAATAATAAAAAAGTATTTTTATTTAATAAAAACATTAACTTAATTCGACCCGACCCGAATTATATATATATTCGGGTCGGTCTAATTTTTTTCACCCTAAACCCGAACCCGACCCGACTCGACCCGAATATCACACTTAAAAAACCCGACCCAACTCGAACAAAATAAAGTTTCATCCGACCCGACCCAAATATATGAATTAGAAATCCGACCCGACCCGAAATAATAAAAAAATATTCTTATTTAATAAAAATAGTGACTTAATCCGACCCGAATTATATATATTTTCGGGTCGGTTCAGTTTTTTTCACTCTAAACCCAAACTCGACCCGACCCGAATATCACACTTAAAAAAACCTGACCCAACTCGACCCGAATATCACACTTAAAAAACCCGACCCAACCCGAACAAAATAAAGTTTCATCCGACCCGACCCGAATATATGAATTAGAAATCCAACCCGACCCGACCCGAAATAATAAAAAATTATTTTTATTTAATAAAACCAGTGACTTAATCCGAACCGACCTAAATTCTATATATTTTCGGGTCGGTCCGATTTTTTTCACCCTAAACCCAAACTCGACCCGACCCGACCCTACCCGAATATCACACTTAAAAAAACCTGATCCAACCCGACCAAAATAAAGTTTCACCCGACCCGACCCGATCCGACCCGAATATATGAATTAGAAACCCGACCCGACCCGAAATAGTAAAAAAATATTTTTATTCAATATATGAATAAGTTACCAAATGATTGATGAGGGTAGTATGTTCAAATTTCAATTCCCTCCAACAAGGGAATTGAATTCAATTCATTTTTGGATGGAATTCACTTTCCCTCATTTGATGGAATTGAATTCCATCAGGGATTCTAATTCCCTTGAAAAACTTGAACCAAACATGGAAAAGTGGTGGAATTGGATTCCAATTCCCACAAATTCTAATAGATTCCATCCAACCAAACGTCACCTAAAAAAAGCATCAAATTTCAACCCTTTTTTGCTTTACATCCTAAGAAATGCAACTGAGCTATAAGCCTAGAGAGAGAAAGCACATAAGAAACGTCAATATTTTTATTAAATGTTAACAAATGGCTTGATTGAATGTATTTAAATAGTTGAATAATCTGATTGATAATTTGTTTAAATAATAGTCAAAATAAAAAAGAATAATTAAATGATGATTGATATAGTTTATCTTAAAATTAAATAATAAATTTATTATAAATATAGAAAATATGTAATTGTCTCAGGAAAAGCGGACTAATATACTGCTAATATACGACGTTAACAGATATATTAAAAGATATTTAACAAATTCGGTTTAGTGCTACCGGAAATGTTGAGTAATAATAATGTTGTAGGTGGAAATCATGAAGAAATATTAAAAAAATTGACAATCGGCAAACATAGCTTGTCGGCTTGTATCGATACAAATAAAAATGTATCGATCCATAACAGTATAACAGGTAAAAATATTATCAAACCGATTTCATTATGATAAAACCGGTAAAGCGCTACCTAATATGTTTAAAGTATTGATTCTATTGAAATAAGTATCGACACTTTTGGAATTTAAAAGAGAAACAGTAATAGCGCCTATAAAGTGTCGATACTTTACAAAAATATATCGATCCATTACAATATAACAGGTAAAAATATGACAAAATTGGTAAAGCGCTATCGGATATGTTGAAAGTGTCGATACTTTAATATAAGTATCAACACTTTTGGAATTTAAAAGATAAGCAGTAATACGCCTATAAAGTGTCGATACTTTATAAAAATGTTTTGATCCATAATAATATAACAGGTAAAAATATGACAAAACCGGTCTCGAAATGAAAAAACCGGTAAATCACTACCATATATGTTAAAGTGTTAATACTTTAATATAAGTATCGACACTTTTAGAATTTAAAAGAGAAGCAGTAATAGCGCCTATAAAATGTCGATACTTTATAAAAATGTATCAATCCATAACAATATAACAAGTAAAAATATGATAAAACCGGTCTCGAAATGATAAAACCGGTAAAGCGCTACAGATATGTTGAAAGTGTCGATACTTTAATATATGTATCGACACTTTTGGAATTTAAAAGAGAAGCAGTAATAGTACATATAAAGTGTCTATACTTTATAAAAATGTATAGATCCATAACAATATAACAGGTAAAAAATATAACAAAACCGGTCTCGAAATGACAAAACCGGTAAAGCGCTACCGGATATGTTGAAAGTGTCGATACTTTAATAAGTACGCGTAAAATATTATCGATAATTTTTAAAGAAATAGGGTTTTATCCTATCGAAAGTATCGACACCTGACATAAAAGTATAGACACTTTGGTAGTTGTATCGATTAAATATAAATAACATATCTGGTTAAAATATAAAGGGCATAGCTAAATTTTCTCTGAAAATAGATAGAATACGACTGAGTTTTTGAGAAATCGAAGCGTAATTGTTGTTGCATTTCAGAAGGCGTTTCTAAAGCGAAGTTTGTTTGTTTGTTACTGCAGTCGAATCGAAAAGTATATTGTCGAATCCCTAGTTTTTTATTATTACAGAAATCGGAAATAGGGGTATTATGTGTTGTTTGGGGTTTTGGAAGTAAAGAAGCATTTGAGACCGATTACAGGTAGAAAGTGATATTCTAGGTAGATGATAAATATCGATACTTTTATTAAATATTATATGTAGAAAATGATATTATAGGTTGTATAAATGTGACGATACTTGGAGTATTGAGTGTTCTCATTTGTTTGAAGGAAATAGGGATTAGGGTTTTTGGGTTTGGTTTAGGGATTTCGTATCGAAGCCAGGAAGGATTTGGGACCGATTATAAAATATTATAGGTAGAAAATAAATATGGATACTTGTATATAATATTATAGGTAGAAAATGATATTGTAGGTTGTATAAATGTACCGATACTTATAATAGTGGCTATTTAAATTCTTTTAAAGGAAATCGTTTTACTACAAGAGTAGTTATCGATATTTGTATATTGAATAAAGTGTATGTAACTAGTATTTGATTTTGATTTGAGTAAACTGATATATGAAGGAAAAATGAAATCAACAGATCTTGAAATTGTTGGTGGCAAAGATGACTTTGGAATTGAGGCCAAGAGTCGAAAGCAACCAAAGGGTGGATATATGTACTCTAGTAAGTATCAATGTATTTCTGTTATTATTTTTGAAATGATAATTGGATTAAAGTATTTAAGAACTTTAAATTGATAAAAAAAATTAAATGTTGACAGTATGACCGAATGCTAAAGGATGAAGGAAGCTGACAATCACATCGGTTCGGTATGTAAAATGAAATTGACATTGAGTTTTATTTAGCGTTAATGTATTGATTAAGAAAAGTTTATGCTTAATTTTAGGCGAGAGATGATGTGTTGGAGAAATAGAAGTCGATGAGTGATGCTGAGAAGGAACCTTACATCACACAGTCAATGATGGATAGACAATAATACAAAGCTTGGAGGAAAGCACATGAAAAGAAGGTATTCATTAAACTTGTAAATACTTTGATACAAGATATATAGAACAATAACATTATATATTGTTAAAAAATGTAGGAAGTGTCGTCAAGGTGCAACTTAAAAAGAGTTAATTCATTAATTGAACACCTTAAATAGAATGAGCAATTGAATGTGCTGAAAGAAATGAGGTTTGGATCCTTGATAGGAGTGAGGGATCGACCAATTCGGAGGGAATTGTGTCGATCGTTGATGGAGCAATTTGATGTCCAATAATGTATGGTTAAATATGGTGATTATTCATTTCCTCTAGGGGTCACACGTGCTGCAACCATATTGGGGGTTTCAAATAAAGGCAAAAGTGTTGTAGAAGTCAGTAAGAATAAGAGCTGGAAATCACTTGCCTCCAAATATGATTTGAAGAACAAGGTGACATATGCTGAACTTTAAAAGGAAATAAAAAGTGGATCTTACGAGGGGATGACCTGAAGGCCCAAGTTCTATTGTACCTTGTCGGCATCTTTTTTTGTCCAATGGGTGATACATAAACAAGCAAGGACAATATGAAGTTGATTTGCGATGAAGGCTTGAAAGGTGAATTCAATTGGGCTGAATATGTCCATTCGAGATGATTGAATCAATAATCAGCTTTTAAAAGGGCTCTCAGAGATACCTGAAAGGGTGTATAACAATCTTAGAGGTAAATGAGTTGAAGAACATTTTTGTTTTATATATAAAATGATAGTATAGTTATTATATAAAAATAATAAATTTAATTATAAATGCAGTTTGCACTGTTTGATTTTTGGTCAGACCTTAATAGTGTGTCGGCATATGAAAGAACCAAAGTGGCACGCATCCGTGCATGGGGGAAGGAATAGGTGGTTAGAGTGATGGCAAAGTTGAAGTTGGATAGACCGAGGAAGCAAGAAAGGGTAATAAATGTAATTAAATAATATTAAGTATATAATCAATGTCTTAATATTGTAATTTAATTTTGAAGGTTATTGACAAGGAGACAGTGGAGGAGGAAGAATAGATGGTAGTGGGGGGATGACGGTGAGGGGGTGACGGTGAAGGAAAACATAGTAAAATTGACATTTTGATGTCTGAATTGGAGGATGTAAAAAAAATTCATTTTGATATTTCGTAAAGACAATCAAGAGTCGAAGAGGAAATTGAGAGGCTTAAGGGGGGGAAGTGGGTGGAAAAATAGATGGAGTGGTGAAAGAAGTTGTGGAGTTGAGGGGTAAAGTTAAGATGGCGATCGGTGGAAAAATAGAGTGATGAATGAAGTTGTGGATTTGAGGGGTGAACTTACGGGGGTGAAGGGAGTGATTGAGAAAAACGTGGATGAAGGGGAAAAATGAAGGGTGAAATAAAAGTGATGAAGAGTTATGTAGAAGAGAAATACGATGAATTGAAAAATATGAAGAAAAAATTATGGAGGAAGAAGAAAAGATGGAGGAAGTGAGGAGGAAGTATGTGGATGTGATTTATATACTGGAGAGTGTTATTGATGCATATTTGGATTCAAAATGTCATGCACCAAAGAAGAAGTAGCAGAAGGTAAGTTAAATAAAAGAAAACGTAATTTGATTTTTATTATATTGTTGTGACAAAAATTTGTATGCAAAATTGTAGGTTGAAAAAGCAGAAATTCCTAGCGGAATTGGTGGTTACGAGGCTACAATGTGTGATTATTTATAGAATAGTAGGTTAGAATCGTCATAAGTGAAATATATTACTTTGTGAATGATATTTTAATATTTCATTACAAAATATTAATCCTAATGCTTCATACAGACATGTTGTAATCTCAATGGGAAATCAATTCACTGATGTATCTGACGTTGCAACGTTGAAGCCTATGGAATGGGTTGGCGGTGCGGTAAGTAGAAAGTAAGAAATGTTAAAACCTAGTGAGTGAATATGTTCTGATTGTTTAATTGTTTTTCTTAGGTTATTGATTTGGTCGGCTGGACATTAGTTTACGACTCGAAAAAGTTACTCGGGAAGATTGGGCATATTCCATGCTTGGAAACCATAAGCGGCTACCTTCCATACCACTTAGCGGTGAGTTAAATTAATAAATGTTCCCAAAGTCATGTTATAGACGGTAAATTAATAATGATTGTCGCGTAAATGCAGCAACAGGCATTGGATGCCAACGGCAACGTAATTGTTATTGGTTCTGTGAGCTTTTGGGGTTCCATATTGGATGACTATATGAAATTCACAGAGTGTGACAAGGTAAGACACCATACAAATTGCAAATGATGTTTTCGGTTATATAATGTTGAATTTCGTCGATAGTCGTAGATTGTAAATGACTTGAATCTTCGATTCTATATTTCATCTAAAATCACTTCGGTCATGTTTGAAAAAAAAAACAAGTAACGCAGATGAAAAAGATTCTGAATATCTCATTTGGTTCAATTGGGCTGAAATCCTATGAATTTAAAGTATATTCCTGAATACCCCTGATTGTTTGGGTAATGGAATCACTCGCAGTAAATCTGAATTTAGAATTATTATGTATAAAGGTTCCTGAACGTTTTCCTAAAGCACACGAAAATATAGTGGGATTCTAATGTATCAACATTAAATGTCTGGCTAGATCGGTTAGTAATCGATTCTCCTCAATATGACCTTATTCCAGGAATTCGATCAAATTTCATAAGTTTCATGTTATCCAAAATGATAACTACAATGGCCTCTGGAAATACTTGGATTCTCTAGTGTGTTCCCTACTTATTACTGAACTGTTTTATTGGTTTTAATATGTGGTACACCGAATTCATTGGTTATTCTTTTATGGATGCACCAATTTAATGTGATAATTTATGGAATATGGCTGCTATCTAATTTTTGTTTTGAAATGGTATATGATTACCATGTTTTTGGATTTATGGAATTTATGTCACGGTGCAATTGAATTTTGGAATTGAATTACGATGGAATAGCTCTGATCAAGCTAAATGGGCCTAATGTGACTCTTGAGGGCCCCAAGATGTTTCATTAGGTCGGCTTTCCTTTGCTGTGTGCTTAGGGTAAGCTATATGGACTTATTGACTTGGGCTTAAGGATACAAGCTTCATAGCCTATCCTTAAGTCGGCTTTCTTTTTGCTATGTGCATAAAGTAAGCTATATGGAAAATAATTTTGGGAACTACTGATGGTGTACCAGAAAAGGGTTTAAACTATGATTTTCAAAAGTTAAACTCTTTTACGAAATTATGAGATTTACTGGACTATGATTTGTACCTATTATGATTTTATTATACTGTTGGAACACACTAGACATCCTATTCGATCTCCTGAAAATGTCATACTTTGAAAGGTTTCTTATGAACTGAGATTCATGGCTTCTACTCGATGACCTTCTAAGGGAACCCCAAATTATTCTGCAAGCTAGTATACGTATGATTCAATAAGGAAATTATATGGCTTTCCATTTATCTATATGTCATGTAGCATCATCTGGTAGTTCTGTATTACTGAGCTTTCCAAAGCTCACTCTATTACTCACCTTTTCAGGTTAAAACAATTGTACCAGTGCATCTATCGACTTCAGTAAGGGAGTTCTTCCGGCGTGGTTGCAGAGTATGGTACTTGTGATTAGGGGGCATGTAATTGTATTTTGATTTATATACGAGTTTGGAAATCTGTTTTATTTTTTAAATAGTGATAAATGATTTTATAAGTTTACATGTTCTGATAAAAAGTTTTAAAATTTCCGCTATTTTTACAGTGGGTCGCTTCGGTGGCCCTAATGTGACTTCCCGAATCAGATCGGGCTACCCGCATCGGTCTGTGGGGGTTACATTTAGTGGTATCAGAGCTATGGTTTAAGTCAAAATTTTTCAAGATAGACCGGCCGGTCGAATATCAAAATATGTCTGATCAGTACATGCCCCTAGACTGCAATCATACCTCTCTGAGCCGAAACTCCAGGGCTGAGTCCCTATCTGTAACGAATAAACTGAAGTTTCTATCCGTTAAGGCTATACTTGTACAAAAAGAAATATCAGTAACATCTGTCTTAACGCAGTAAAGTACCTTAGCCATGTGAGAGTTATTCATCTGAGAAATTCTGACTCGACTCCAGAAATAAAATTGAGATATGTTGCTGCTCTACGAGCCTATTCACGTAACCAAGGATGAATTGATTTCACAAGGATAAAGTTGTTTTGATTACTTACTTGGACTGAGGGAGAATTCTGAAGAGATTGATTACTCGAGAAAATTTTCGTTCAGATTCTTTTATTGAAATGAGGAAGAGTTCTGATAAGAATGTATACTCAATTGGTTAAGGATTAGTGGAGAATCCGTATTTCTATAAAAAGCTACTCGAAGATATGGAAGAGTTGATGAAAGTTTCATTTCTACAATTATGTGACATGAATGAATTTCGAGGACGAAATTCTTTTAAGGAGGGGAGAATTGTAACACCCCAATTTAGGGGCTAAAATTAAGAAATTATAAAGTGGCGGATTTAATTGATATTTTGAAAGAAACATTGGGGATTAAATTGTAAAGTTTTAAAGTTGGCAGACCGTTTTATAAAGTGCAGGAAATTCAGTGGCTAAACCCATGATTTAACCATTTCTTATATATGATGAATTATAAGCTCCTCCCCGTGCGCAGGTTTCATATTTTCCAGATTTCCCTTCTCCAACAACCCAACTTCCAACTCTGATCTACTCGCCGTTCGACCTCCAAACGACGAGCCAAAACCACCATCATGTTCGTTGTCAATCGAGGAACAAAACCCCTCAAACCTTTCGTCGTGAATCATCGCCGTTCGTCGTGAATTTCAGTCGGAGGTATCGTCGGTAATAACTCGATTTTAGTAGGTTTTTCATCGATTCACGACGATCGAGTCATCTGTTTACGACACCTCCCGCACCATCGTGTTCGTTGCATTGTTCCGAGTTTGCCGGTGTCATCCTTGGTCTCTGTCGACGGTGGCGCGTGAGGAGGTGAAGCGGTCAAAGTTTCCGATTTGTTGAAACCGAGCTCTCCGCCGTTCAAAATTGTGAACCGAGCTTTGTAAGTATCTCGAAATCGCTCAAAAAAATTTTTAGAAATTTTTCCGGGATTTTAGCACTGTTCACGCACCCCTACGCGCCGCCACTGTGCGTGGGGAAGAAAAAAATGACCGGTTTGACCGGTTTTGGTGCATAGTTGACCGGTTTGACCGGTCACAACCCGACCCGACCCGTTGACCCGATTCGAACCATTTACCCGACCCGTTGACCCGACCCGACCTGTTGACTCGACCCGTTGACCCGTTGACCGTTGACCCGTTGACCGTCGTTGACCACTGTTGACCAAAACTTTGACTGGCTTTGACCGGGCATTAAACGACCTTTGACTTCGACCGAGTATACCTATCCTGACATTTTTCGACGTTCCAAATCCGATTCCGCTGTTCGTTTTTTGAAATTCGAACCCGAAGGCCTCGAAATTGCCAGTCAAACCCGTTGACTTTGATTTTGACCGGAAATTCCAAATTTCCGAAAAGTCACATTTTATGCTTTCGACGTCCTGAATCCGAATCCGAAGTCCGTTTTGCCAAATTCGAACCCGGTAAGCTGTCTTTCATTGATTTATCAACCGATTTGATCCGTTTATCGCAATTAAGCTCCGTTTCTGATATAATTTATGTTGATATGTATATGAGGAATTATTTGAAGTTGAATTGAAGATCAAAGGCATTCGAATGGAATTTTTATGGTCGATCGGTATTGCACGGAAATCGAGGTAATACTTTACTACCTCTTTATGCTTTATGGAACATGTTGATATTGGTAAATGCATGAATAAGATAATGTTGGTCACTTTTGTGGAGTTGAATAATTTATTCACTCGATATGAATGTGGTAGAAATTCTGTAACTGAATACGGATCGAATGACTAAGATAAGAGATTGATAATTGTTAGAATTACATTACAAGTTTGTGATAGGTGATAAAGAAATCAGCTCTGGATTTGTAACTTATATTTTATATCATCAAGGGTTAAATGTTAAAGATACTTGGATGAAAAATTATGAGAATACTCCGATATGGTAAAATTACGAAATTACCCTTATGTTGGAAAATGATAAGAATTGCCATGGAAGTTGGTTAATAACTCTGAAAAGACATATTGATCCGATATAACTACTGATGTGCATAAGAAATATTAGTTTTATTTGGAAATTATGGATAACCGGTTTTAATCCTATGAGAGTTTGTGAAGGAATCATTTCAAAATCAAAGAATGTTCGGGAAAGCAATTGATCATAGGATCTCTAAATTATAATTATTTTCGTTAAGTGCTAATATTGAAATTATCTGGTTAAGAAATTACGAAAATGCCCTTGAGAGATAAAATAGTCTGAATTGACCCTGCATGAGAGAGTACTTTGAGGATTTGTACTTAATTCGATTAAGTACGAATTTAATTGTTAAGATCCTGTCTTTGTACAGAAAAATTTATAATATTCCGTTTGTAAAATCTGAGAAGACACTTGACCCGAAAATATTCGAATAAGGAGTAAATACTTGAAGAGTAATTTATCGAAGGTATTCTACTGACAGAATTGTTCGAAAGGACTGAAGTAAATGATAAGATTGAATCAAATAATAAGACCAGATGGAAGGAAATGATTGAAATATTCTAGAATTATAAAATGACCAAATTACCCCTGGAATGGAAATGACTCAAGAATGTCACC